GCAGATGACAGGTTGGAGTGCAGGGTGGAGCCAAGGGTTGAGCAAAGGGCGGAGCAGAGGGTGGAGTGGCCGGTTGATGAGAGGGTGGAGCAGCGGGCGGATCAGAGGATGAGGGACGTGGTAGAGGTTACAGATGACGTGACCTTGGATCAGGCCGGGGATCCAGGGACGGAGGAGAGTACTCGTCGGCGGTCGGGTGATTGCCACTCTGGCGAGAGCGTCATCTGCGATGTTGTGACATGCGGGCGTACGGAGCAGAGGTTGCACACGGACGGTGTTGCTAGAGATCCACCTGGTTTGGATGGGATTCGTAGAGACGGAGGCGACAGGGCACGACCTGCTGATACGGTGACACGTCTCCGTCTTCACATGATGTTCTCACGCAGCGCACTTTCTACGGGATCCCACCACTACCATTGCGGACAACATCGCAACCATCGACAGCGACGACGCCAGAGATTCATTTGGGGAGGTCTGCGACACTCGACGTAGGTGGCGGACACCCTGCCACACACGGTCGCGCACCGAGTTCTGCATATACTACCCCTTCATCATCATCTAGCACCCCGCCTCCACTTACATCCGTTCTACCACACCTTCCTCTTCATGTGTCTGGCCCTTCCACCTAGACAGCCAGGGATATTCTGCCTGCGCGGAGTCCATTGGGCATGCCTCCACTTTCGACACAACTCTCCTCCGCTATTGTTGATAACGTCACGACGAGTCGTGCAGGCAGGAAGAGGAGGAGGGAGGGGGATGCCGGACGCGAGCATGCACGTGCAGGTCGAGTGCACCGTGGCACCGGGAGAGGACGAGGACGGCCACCAGGCATAGGCCGAGGGAGAGGTCGCCCACCTGCCTCAGGACGAGACTCTTGGGCGATGAGCGAGTTGGGTGTAAAGGACACCAGTGACGGAGGTGTAGTGAATGGGACGGCAGCAGGGGAATCACCCGCAGTGGTGTACGAACGAGGGCGCAGTCGTTGGGTTCAGGTGGGCACCGGAGAGAGACTCGTGTCCTTGACGATGATCCAGAGAGCGATGATGATTCTTCCGGTAGTGATTACGCAAGGGAGAGGAGTAGTGAGAAGAGGAGGGGGGATGATTCTGAGGATTGTAGTGGAGAGGAGGAGTAGAGAGATGTTCTAACGTCTGACACAGTCACAGCCACACCCAAAGCATTTGCCCTTTGATTTGTGTGCTTTGAGTGTCATTGATGTCCATCCGCCTAGCATATACTTGTCAAGTGCACACTCAGTCATGAAGTCAGTCAGTCATGTCGTCTATGCGTGGTGGACATCATGTGTGTGTGTGCTC